AAATAATTAGCAACATGTCCAACTGCGATATTTTGTCTAATTGGCAGCCTGTAGCTAATGTTCATGTATGCCAGTTACCCATACTTGAACAGAGCGCTAATCTTCAAAGCAGTATTTCTATAGTCTGTATCTCTGTGTATAATGTTCTGGAAACTGTTCAGAGTTAATCAAATTTGAACAGGATAAGAGTTTTGATAACAGTACTTGTATCTACGTGTCTGGCTGGAGACAACAGGCTGTTTTTGATTTTCGTAATCTTGCATATTCAGGAAGACAACAACAAGCTGCATTGGGTTCTGCAATGTTATAGTTTGCTCAACAGATCAGCAATCGTGTTGCTTGAACCCTTTATGTGGCAGATATCGGACTGGTAATTTTGAAGTAGTAAGGCCCATCTTGCTTTCCGGCTTTTCTTGGGCATGCCACGCTTAATTATTAATAACGGTTGATTGTCTGTCTGCAACAAGAATGGCCTACCCCGAAGGTATTTCTTAAGCTTTGATATAGAGAATATCAGTGCCAAACATGTATGCTCTGCCGTGGAGTACCTCTCTTTTAGCGTCACACCCGTGGATAAATGTTTTTTTTTTTTGAAGTCAAGGTAATTTAAAAAATAGAAGTAAGCCAAAAGATAACCAGACGTAAGGCAGAAAAAAGGCAGAAAAAGACAGAAGCAAGAAAGAAGAAAGAAATAAGAAAGAAAGAAGGAAGAAACAAGAATGAAAGAGAAAAGAAAGGGAAAGGATAAACAAAGAAAGAAGAAAAAAAAATAAAGCTAGAAAAAAGCACAAAAATGCCAAGAAAAAAAAAATCCCAAACACCTGAAAAAAGCTACATAGCCATAAGGTATACAGAAAAAAGCTGAAAGAAAGGTCAACAAAAGAAACTAAAAAAAAAAGCACAGCAGTAAGCGAAAAGAAAGCCAGTATAAAGAAGCAAGAAGAGGAAGAAGAAGAAGAAGAAAGAAAGGAGAAAGAATGAAAAAGGAAAAAAAAAGAAAGAAGACAAAAAGAAGAAATAAAGAAGAACAAAAAAGAAAGAAGAAAGAAAGTACAAAAATAAAGCCCAGAAAAAAGGTGCCAGAAAAAAAAGAAAAAATGCCGAAAGGAATCCAGAAAAAAGCCACAAATATTACGGAAAAAAAAAATACAAATACAGAAGTAAACTAAAAGAAAGGCAGAAGAAATGCAGAAGAAAGACGAAAAAAAAATAAAGAAAGAAACAAGAAAGAAAAAAGAAAGAAGAAAGAAAGAGGAGAAAAAGAGAAAAGAAAAAAGAAAGAAAAACAATTAAAAAAAACACAGAAGGCAGGCAGAAGAAGGAGGAGGAGAAGGATAAGAAGGAGGAGGAGAAGTAGACGGAGAAGAAGAAGAAGAAGAAGAAGAAGAAGAAGAAGAAGAAGAAGAAGAAGAAGAAGAAGAAGAAGAAGAAGAAGAAGAAGAAGAAGAAGAAGAAGAAGAAGAAGAAGAAGAAGAAGAAAAAGAAGAAGAAGAAGAAGAAGAAGAAGAAGAAGAAGAAGAAGAAGGAGGAGGAGGAGAAGAAAAAGAAAAAGAAGATAAAATGCTAGCTGCCTTTTTTCGACCTGACCCAAGTCTTCGACAAGGTCTGAAAAAAAAAAAGACTTGCTAAAACTAGCACACAGTGGGATAAAAGGCATATGTTTGCCTGGAATGCATAAAGCTATAAAAACAGTTAAGAAATGGACAGACTCTTGGGGAGTCACACAAAAACTAGACCAAAACTGTCTCGACTCTTTTTTCTCTCTCTCTCTATCTCTCTCTCTCTCTCTCTCTCTCTCTCTCTCTCTCTCTCTCTCTCTCTCTCTCTCTCTCTCTCTCTTTCTCTATCTCTCTCATTCTCAATAAAGCTAGAACAAGTTGATCTTTACCTAGAAGGCGACATCTTTACAAAAGAGGTCAACCCCGACTATTTGAGAGTACACTTCAACAAAAGACTACAGAAAGGCTCAAGAATGTGACCTAGTAACTGCATGCAAAGACCCTTGAACATGTCTACAACTCCTCCCAAAAACCCGACATGGACACACACGTGCACTGATGGATTATTGGAGAGAGCAGGAAAAAACGGAGCAGTAGGTTCGGTCATCGCCGCAAGATAGAGCCACAATAGAAACGTCATGTGGCTCCGGAAAACTCTCAACAAACTTCAGAGTAAAGCAGCAAACAATTATTTATGCAATCAAAGTGCTTGAAAAAATTGTTTCCCTGTGTGGCATGCAGTCACACAGGAAAACAATTTTTCTGTGTTTTTTATTTTTTTTTAATTTTTCTTTTTTTAGGCGACTCAAAGGAATCCGCGAGACAAAATGGAGAGATAACTAACCCGCCAGCTAAACAGATTCTCAGAAAACAATAAACTCCTTCTTCAGTGGATCCCGGTTCACAGCGGCATACCAGGAAATTAGTTAGCGGACAGATTTATGGGGAAAAAAAATGGAACAAAGAAGAAACAATACACCCACTCACTGTCATTACCATAAATCGAAACACTTATCAAGGGAAAATACAAGGAACTGTAAAGAGAACAAACCAACATTAAATATTCACAAGACCCCATCAGCAAACTGACTCAGCGGAAAGCAACATATTAAAATTTTCTGTCTACGAACAGGACACTCCAGCCTCAACTACCACAAGCATAAAAAAGAGACTGCACAGTCCCCACAGTGTGCCTGCCAGACAGGACCACAAACAACTAAGCACATTCTGCAGACCTACCCACTTAATCTACAACTTGGAAAAGAAACCTCGCCTCTAGAGCAAAGTGTGCAGAGAAAGCTATGGGGAACCATCAAAAACCAGCAGCTGACATCCGCCTTCATAGAGGCAACCAACTTGATGGTCTGACCTGAGCATATGAAATCGAATGCAAAGAAGATCTTTTTGGTACAGCTGTCATCGTCGCATAAGTGGGAGCCAAGATATTTAAAGGTTTTAACTTCTGGTTTTTTCCATTTTATCTGAATGTTGGTAGTTAGTTGATTAATGTGAATATTTACCAGAATCTGGATTTTCTCGGCATTAATTTCAATGCCATATATATCACAGACTGTCTCTAATTTTGTAGTAAGTTATTGGAATTCTGTTTCGGATCAGCCATGAGATCAATCATCATAATCATCATTATCAGTTTTCACTTCTGCCGTTAAGCGTTGTAGGGAGGAACAGTTTGCGACCCATTGCTTAATAGGCAGCTATAGCTACTGTCATTCTGTGTCGATGTAGAAGCTCTTTAATGTCATCAATCCATCTTCTCATAGGATGGCCTCTTGCTTTTACTTCAGGTCCTTTCATGTGTAGATCCTGCACTGGTAGTTGTTGTGGCTGCATTCTTACTATTTTATCTTCTGTTTCTCAATGAACTTGCTGCATGGTGTTGTTGCAACAGTCTGTCTGATCATATCATTGACAACTTTGTCTCGGATGGTTAAGCTGGCGGCTTTTCTCAGGCATCTCATTTCACAGGTGTTAACTTTACGCAGGTTAGTCTTTGATAATGTCCAAGTCTGGCACCGGTTGCACAGTAATGGTATGAATATGCTGTTTATAATCTGTTTCTTGATGCTCATACTTATGTTTATGTGTCTTAATAACGGTGTCAGTTGGTGTAAAAGTGCACTGGCTCGTTGGCTTCTGGTTTCTATTTCCCGATCTATTCTTCCATCTTCCGAGAATATACTTCCTAGACATTTCAATTCTTTAACTTGCTTCAGAAAAGTACCATTCAACCCTTTATATGTAGGGGTCTAAGAATTCTACTGACATGCATTACGTCAGTTTTGTTAGTATTTATTTTCATGTTATATATTCTGCATATTGAACTTAGCTCCATGAAATTAGTGTCGTCTTCGGAACGTAAATTACATAGTTGTCTTCCGCCAATGGATAGGCCTATAGATGTTTCATGATTGTATAGTTTTTCTCTCATGATGTATTTTAAAAACAAATTTAAACGGACAGGAGTTACTACGCAACACTGTCTCACTGCCACACTTGACGAGTAGAGTGGGGCATATGCCGTTAGCCTTTTGTTTTTATGAACTAATCGACACTAGGTAGTTGTACTTTTACCCATTTTTTTGTGTGGCTGCGCGTATCTGGGTGGTGATAACATTTTTATACATACATCCCAGATTAACTTCAAAATTCCTATCGCTGTGGATTAAACCTATGGCCATTAGGCTGCGAGGAAAGCATGCAGTCATTGCGCTACCGACGTTCCTTTGTGTGAAAATATGTTTACAATCAAAATTGACACATGGAGTGAGAATTAATCATATTAGTATATCCTTTCATTCCCATCTGTTCCTGAGCAGTGTCCTCTTTCACCACTGTGAATGAATTTTCCCCTTCCCCCACTTTCCAATTTCAGCAACGACTTCCCCCACAAAAGAGATCCAAGGCTGACACATCACTGTGGTTCCCCAACAAGTCAAGGACGTTAACTGCGTCATAAGAAACACTGAACCAATGCAAAGTTGTTTAATTCATGACGTACTTGCTTATTTTTAACTTCCCACCAATCGGAAAGAGGTTTCCTGGCCTTCCGCGACGTATTTTACATTGTGCAAAGACAATTTTGCTTACTATAATATTGGCACAATACTGAACATTATTTACATAACCTGTATATACGTGAAAATTCAATACTGTTTTCAGGATTAAGTATGTAGTAAATACGTGACAAAGTCTGCTGAGAGTATAAGCCGTTCCATGCATCTATCGCGGCTGAATATACTCGGTTGACGTCAGACAAGCTATAAATGCATTTGTGGATTCGGAAATCGGACAGAGCACCGCGTGGAAACCCGCCAAAGTGATGAAACAGAAATATTTCAACTCTCTGTTTTATAGGTGTTTACATTTATTCTGAAAGAAAAGGGACTTTTAACTAAAGCGTTTGTTCCAACTCGGCGCATCGTCTTATATACGAAGATATTACTGTTTTGTGGATCAACATGCCAAGTCGGTGGTGAGTTGATGGAATCGCTTCAACTGACTGAGTTGGACATTCAGTCTTTCTTGGGCACGAATAAGTGTGAGCTGGCTTCCCAAAAATTGTACGTGGATTCAGTGGACTGTTCCCAGCTAGACATACTGGATCCTATTCATGAACGTGCATTGGTCTTCAGCGAGTACATGAGTCAAGACGTTATAAATCCGAGAATCAACATATACACTCAGATTCCTCCACATTACTCAGAACACCAGTCGTTGCCTCAAGTGGTACTAGATGCAACTGCTGTCATCCACGAGGAGAAATATCCAGGGGAAGGATCTGTGTTACCATCCCCTATTGTCAACTTTCTGGAACCAGGACAAAGCCCAGAGCAATCTGATGTTACAAGTTACTACAGTGACGACAGCTGTTCGACATCTCGGCATGTGCCAGAATTTAGTCAACTCACTTCGCCCGGGGTTGATGCTCCAAGCACAAGCTTCCAGTGGTCTAGAAGCAGTAACATTAAGAGAGAGCAGTACACTTTTCAACAATCTGATGCCTCATATTTTGGGTTGAAACTAGAAGAATTTGAGCTTTCGTCTAGCCAACAATCAACACAGAAAGGAACTTCAGATGTGGCTTCTTTTCCTTTTGTAACATCTAGTACATCGCTTCCTTCACCAGCTTCCACCGTTTACTCAGTTTCAAGTCCTGGCACTCCTGGAACTTTATCGTCAACACGAGGCCGCCGTCCTCATGGTTCAATAATTCCATATTCAACCAAATCAAGGCGCAGACAGGCGGAGAAAGGAACTCAAGAGTATGTGGAGAAACGAGCCCGTAACAATGTTGCCGTGAGAAAAAGCCGTGCCAAGGCAAAAGAAAAACAAAGAGAAACGGAAGGAAGAGTTCGACATTTGCTCGAACAAAATGAACAACTCCAGAAAAAAGTTGATTTGCTAACAAAAGAACTAACAGTTCTAAAGGGATTGTTTACAAACATTGGCTCTTCTATACCAGACGAATTTCTGAAAATGGTAGGAGATTCTTGATAGCACGATCATAACTCCTTCTTATCCTGCAAGTAAGTGTATTATTAAGGTGCAAAAGTCATACTGTCATAAGTGTACATAATTACTAAAACTGTTTTAGCGTTTGTGTAAACGTTTATATTTATACAGCATTACGAATGTGCTGTGATATCTACTTTATCTATGAAGACCATTCTTCATGTTAATTATACTACAGTCAAGCTTATGTCACAATAATTTAACACTACGAACATCATTGATATGTGATTTTGTTTGGTGTATTTTTTTTTTCTGTACAGTGAAAATAATACTGTATTTGTAATTAGAGGAATATTTGCATTATCCATCCGTAAAGACCGTTGTTTGTTTGTTTTAGTATCCAGAAGCCATGAGTTGTTAACCCTTAGGCTCGGCATTATGGACATCGCAATCTTTCGGCTTTGATTCCATTGTAAATACCGTAAATCTGGGAGAAATGTGGCTTTCCTGCCTACCCCCGGGATTGAACCCGGACCACAAGGAGTTCGTCACCCGGTCTCCGCGCAATCCGGTTTAGCCAACTACGCCAGAGAGCCGGGCCTGTTAAGACTGTTAGTGGGGCAAAGAAAGAAGATATGACAGTTTCTACGGGGTTCGGTGAACATGGAGCTACTGAGATGTCTGCTGCTGCATTGGAGCAGCGGAACACGAACGGGTCAGACCCGTGTGCTAGGATATCGATATAGACAACAACAATAACAACAATAGATTGTTACTATTAAAACCAGAAACCTTCTCGTTTTAAGAAAAGGAGGGGGGGGGAAGGGGTTGTTAGTGGCAAGGTAAACTGCATGTAAACGGAGGACGAGTGGAGAAAGAGGACAGGTAACACTGATAAAAGTATGGGTTTGTAATTACTACTTTAACTAACGATTTTGTTATATTCATTTAATGTTCTATCATACAAGTTCCTGTAAGATGCTTTACTATCATCACAATGTAAAGTGTGTACAAATAAATGTATATATGGTTAAATTCAGTTTATGTCCCAGCAGCCGTCCCCCCCCCCACTACCCCCCCCCCCCCGGGTGTTGTTGCGTTGTTTCAATCACCACCTGTAACATTTCAAGGACGCGAGCCATTGCAGTGTAATTGCTTGCATACGCTGAGTTCAGTATTGACATGCATTGAGTCTACTCTCTTTCTCTGACACAAATCAAACAGGCCATAGTTGTCTTAATATTGCCAGTGACGAGTTTTACAGGGCATTTAATTCATTTAGTATCCAGCAAAGCATCAGGGGTTTGTTTGTTTCAACTGTCACGATACCACTTTTCTGAACTCTTTGTGGCCCATTTCCTTTTGACAGACTAATTAAACCCACCCACCCACTCAGCCCGATGACGTTCAATAATCATCACATTTATCAGACTCAAACATTGATAACGTACAAAATCCATAGAAGGTATTCTTTCAGTGCAGGAAGTAAACAGTCACCCTAATATTGCCTGCTTGCTAGGGAAGAGGCAGGGGATGTCCATAAGGAGTCCATACGCCTAGCGCCGCCCCACCCGCTAACCAGACGTTTCATATTCAAGAAATAGGCATGTTTGTCACTCGTAGGTTTATCGAGGTTGTCTCCTCTAGATCCGTTGTGTTTTGTGCCTCTTCGGTCACGCACAACGGTCTTGACTGTAGACAGGTTTTCCTGATCAAGGGCTAGACCAAGCTCTCGAGACAGAACAGCTGGTGTGCTCCACTGCGCGAGAGATCGGACATCTACAGCCCTGGATCTCTCTGATCCTTGTGTATTCCAGAGCCATATCGGGGCCATATTTTCTTATAATTTATCCATATTGGTAAGGGCGCTAAAGACTGTGGCCTATTGCCTGTTGCAAAATATCAAACAATCAATAATTACACAATATCAAACACAAACATTAACTTCCCTGCTGACTGCGGGGAGCCGGAGACGAAGATGAAGTTCAACAAGGCTGTGTCGGGATCTAGACGAAAAAATAGGGCCCGGCATTTCAATGCCCCCTCTCATATCAGGAGGAAAATCATGAGTTCACCCCTCTCAAAAGAGCTCAGGCAGAAATACAATGTCAGAAGTATGCCCATCAGAAAGGACGATGAAGTTACCGTTGTTCGTGGACACTACAAGGGACAGCAGACAGGAAAGGTGACTCAAGTCTACAGAAAGAAATTTGTAGTCTACATTGAACGAATCCAGCGTGAGAAAGCAAACGGTGCAACTGTCCATGTTGGTATCCATCCTTCAAAGGTTGTCATTGTTAAGCTGAAACTGGACAAGGATCGCAAGAAGATTCTGGAAAGGAAGGCCATGAGCAGAGCCAAGGCTCTGGCAGAGAAGGGCAAGTACACAGAGGAAACTATGGAAAGCTGATTGCATTCTCTTTAATAAAGTGTTTGAAACTGGAAAACAAAAAAAAAAAAAAAAAAAAACTTCCCTGCTGCATCAAGGGTGGACAGCATTGACGTCATGTGTTTGAACTGGTAAGAGATTTGATTTAAGCGATGAAAACCGATACAAAACACAAAATTCTCGCCTTGAAATATTCATGGTTGCTAGCGACTCCTTACCGGAAACGGAACTCCTCACAGTTAATAACATCAATAGAGAAAGCAAACTAAGGTACCTGGGTATCACTTTTGATAGGAGCCTGTCCTATAGGGAACACGTGGAGGCAGTTGGGGTGCAATGCCAAAAAGGACAATGCTCTCAAGATTATGGCAGCAATGGACATGGAACAGAGAATGCTGTTCACAGTGTTTTAGCATGCGATCCTGTCGGTGATAGATTACGGACTTGGAATGCTTACCATATCAAAGAGTCAGCCGATAAAACTCCAACGCCTACAGAATGAAGCCATGCGGGTAATTATGGGATGTACAAGAGATACCCCGGCAGTATGTATGCGATATATACTTGCACTGCCTACTATTGCAAATAGGCTCAAAGTTCTGGAGGCAACGTCATATCTCAGAGTAGCTTCAGACAAGATGCAACTCCTGTATTAAGCCCTCGGTAGTGCTAAGGGTCTCAGACTGAAAAGAGGAAGGTCTTGGATGGCGTAAGCTGAAGAAACAATTGGACAAGTGTGCAGGCTTGATACATTTGAGCGAGTAGAGGAATGCGTCAAGGTGTCCGAACAAATTTCAAACTTGTGTAGGGTTCTAATCACTTTAGGTCGTGAGTGCAGAGACTGGCCAGCTGGTGCTGCAGAATCAGACGTTCAACAAATGATTTATGACAATTCCCGCCCATGTGATGTGATTATCTAAACAGATGGCATTGAGTTGAAGGGCACATGAAGTGCGTGGGGGTTTATAGCAAAGTCGAATGTACGTCGCTTAGTGCAACAAAGCCTGTCATATGATATCACAACGTCTAGTTTGAAAATGAGGTGGAGGCAGTCTCTGGTGCCTTCCGCTGGCTTGAGAATCAGCTGTACATTCATACCGTGATTGTAACTGATGCACAAAGCATGTTCAGAAAGGTGAAGACAGGCATGCTTCGTGCAGAGTGGCAAGCTTCGTTTCAGAGGTCCAGGGTAGTTAGCATCCTTTGAATATTCTCTCCAGGCTATGCCAATATGTTGGGAAATGAGCAGGTTGAGAGACTGGCCGGCTCTGCACTACTTAGTGGTGAACTGATTTTTGACAAGTTTGATATTGTTAGGGCCCTTTTCGGAACGAGTGAACAGTGCGGATGCGCAGATAGATCATTACTGTCTGCGGAGAATGGCGCTGCGAGTATATACAAAGGGGATGTGATCGACGCTCAACACTCAGGGGAAGGATTCTTCTTCTTCTTCTTGTGTCCGCTTTCTGATTTACACCGACAGACAGGTTCTTGTAATAAACTTGACTGTTTCTATGAGTTCATTTTTAGTCCCATACAACTTTGTGTACAGTGGTGACTCAGTGGGCCAGTACTCCTTTCTTGGGCTCAACAAGGGACAGTCTTGCAGGACATGTTCTGTAGTCTGCACACATAGCCCACAAGGGCAAATAGGTGAACTACTTAGACGAAGCCTGTGCATATGCTGGTTAAGTTTGTTATGTCCTGTCCTGAGACGTAGGACAATGACCTGCCCATGCCGGTCAAGTAAGTGGTAGTCATCTCTGGCCAGACTCTGTTCACTTCTAATAGCCTGGATGGCCCTTTTCTTCTCATAGTATGTTACTGCATTCTTTTCCTGGTCACATTCTGCCCCTTTTTTAGCAAGTTTATCTGCGGTTTCGTTTCCTGGTATACCACAGTTGGATGGCACCCACTGGAGTACAGTACACTTGTGGGCAGCTACCCTGCCAAGTTCAGATCTCAAGTGAGGGAGTTTGCCACTCTTGAGGGCTTGAAGCACTGATAGCGCATCTTTGAATATGACCGCTTGGTGGCAGTCAGAACTGGTGTTGTGCAACATTTCGGCAGCCTGCTCTAGTGCTACAATCTCTGCTGTGTAGTTGGAACAGAATTTACTAGTGGGTATCCTCTTTGTGTGGCGGTGGTTGCCTGGGTATGTAATAAAGACTCCAGCACACCCATTTTTAACCGCACTGGTTGCTGATCCATCTGTGTAAACATGTATCCATGACTTTTAGGGATAGTTTTCATGAATCATGCTAAGAGCAACTGTTCGTTTTTGAAGATCATTGGACTCATCTCCAGTTGTGAATCCATTGACTGAAGTCATTATCTGTATTGTATCACTGACTTGCTCCCAAGGTACAGGGTATAGGGTAGGTTGCAGCGGTGTTGTTCTAATAGGTAGATCAGCTTGATACTGTCTTACAAGTCTTTTCCCCCGATGGACAAAGCTGCTACGTTTGAGACGCCCTAATGCCAGATCATCTAACCTTTCATTCATTGGGTGTGACTGCATACTATTAAACTTCTCCATTTGGATCATAGTTTTAGTGTCTCTTCTATAGGACAGTGTCTGCATTGCAGTTATTTTCTACATCTTCAGGATTGGTGCAGTTTTCATGGATCCTGTGATGAGTCTAAGAGCTTGATTTTACACTGTATAACGATTGTAGATGGGAATTAGCAGCTGTTGACCATGCTGTTGCACCAAACTCCAAGTGGGGTCTTATCACTCCATTATAAACTTTCTTTAGGGTTTTTCCATTCGCTCCCCATCCTGTACCTGCCAGTTTTCTAAGTAGGCATAGTCGTCTCCTGGCCTTCCCTTCTACATTTTCTATGTTTGCTCCATGTGAGCTTTTTATCAAATGTTACTCCAAGATAAGTGGGGAAGCTTTCTTCCATTAGCAAGGATGTTCCTAGGTGAATACTAGCAGCTTTGTCCCTGGGGGAAGGAGAGAAAAGCGTTGTGGATGTTTTGTCTGTGTTGATGGCAATATGCCACTTGTCTGCCCATGTCATCAAGAGATCTGCTGCTCGCTGCATTCTTATATTTGCCACTGTGGTGTGTTCAAGGGTACACCAGAGTGCCAGATCATCTGCATTCAGGGCAGCTTTTACTCCTGTAGGGAGGTCTTTCACCAGATCATTTATATACACAAGAAAGAGAGTTAGAGAGATAACTCCTCCCTATGGTACTCCTTGCCGAAGTAACACTTTTCTACTCTGCTGGCCATCAAGACTGACTCTAGTTCTTCTGCTGTGTAAGAAGGATTGGATCCATTTTAGCATGTTTCCTTGGATTCCATTTCTCTTCAGTTTTGCAATGAGACCATCTTTCCAGACTTTGTCAAAAGCTTGTTTGAAGTCAACCCATACCGCCAGGACCTTTTTCTTCTCTTGGAAGGCATCCTCTACAGCTTGTGACAGGTAGGTGACTTGGTCTTCTTTGCTGTGACATTCCCTAAATCCAGCCTGCTCTGGCACCAAGATCTGCTCAGATTCTAAGTGCCATTTCAGTCTTGAGTTTACAATTCTTTCCAATGTCCCTACACAGCTTGTGAGACTAATTGAGCGATAGCTCGAAGCCTGGGTCCTAAATTTTCCTTTTTTTAAAATGGGTATTGTGATGGCTTCTCTCCATATTTGAGGCACCAAACCTTTCTCCCAGCTAATGTTGAAAATTTCCAGCAGCTTTACTTTAGCAGATGAGCTCAGGTTGATTAGCATTTCGTTGCTGATTTCATCTGGACCTGCAGACTTTTTAAACTTAAGCCTAAAGATGGCATTTTGTAGTTCACCCATGGTAAATGGCTCCCTCATAGACGCAGGAATATCTGTCGGTCTCTTATTTGATTGTATTTTTTTCCTTATTTCTCTCTGATGGTCCTCATTAAGGGTCAGGTTGCTTTCAACACTGTGTGTTCTGGCAAACAAATCTGCAGCTTGTTTTCCTCTGAAGATTTTGTCACCATCACTTAGCGTGATTGTTTGTCTAGGAGAGAAACTCTCTTCATTGAGTTAGTTAGTTAGTTAGTTAGTTAGTTAGTTAGTTAGTTGGGTTATCCTCATTGCACTCCGGACATGTCCATAGGTGCTCAGATTCTCCCCTCAGTATGAACCCCAACGTCCGATGGCTAATAGTACCAGTTCTATGTTGATTAACAAGTCTTCTGGCGTAGCTGGTGTGCGTCTCGTTTTTTGCTGTGCCGATCTTAATTCCCAAGTCTGCCATTCTGGCGAGTGATGTGGATTCACTGCCACCAAAGTCGTCTATCCTTCCCATTTCTCTGAGGGCATTGATAATATCAGCATGATCCATAGGCTGACCGTCGGTAGTGATAGCGGATCCAGCCAACCTGTCAGCTCTTTCATTTCCATCGACGCCTGCGTGTCCCGAAACAAAAATAAAGGTGACTCCACGGACAGTTGACTTCTGTAATGATTCAAGCCATTGTCTTCGCACTGAACCTGCCTGAACCCTCCGGATCATACTCATTGAATCACTGAGTATACACACGCGGGTGTATTTTTGTGTTTCAAGCCAGGCAAGCGCTTGTGTCACTGCCATCACCTCCATCGTCATGCTGCTGGTTGTCATGGAGAAGGCGCCGTTGGCTTCTTTGACTGTTCTGCCCGCTGAGCGTGCTGTAAATGCCCATGCACTTCTTCTTTGGCGTATAACGGATCCGTCTGTATAGATTATTGCATCTGCTTCGTCTGAATTTTCACCGATGAGAGCGTTGACCTCTGCATTAACAGCAACAGGATTCTCTTCTCTACATCGCCTGTTGAGTGTGACAATACAGGAAAATGTACAAATAAACGCCTGAGGCACAGGTATTTATTCTGCACCAGGTATGATGTCGGTTAGGCTGCATATTTGCCTAATAACATCTTCTGCCCGACCTAGCCACGATTTCCCCCTCTTCAGTCTGTCGCCCTTTTCACTAAAAAGCGCTTGATGCAGTGAGTGTTTCTTATCAGCACATATTTTGAGATATGCCCGAGCCCTC